GCCGAGTCCCATTTTCTCTTAATCTCCCTCTTGAGCGTTTTGGAGCCGCTTAAACCTTTGTGCAACGGAGCCGTCTCTTCCCTGGGCTCACCCCGACCTCCCTCAGGCTCATTAATCCACCCTTGAGGGCTGACGATCTCTTTTCTTTTTTTTTCTTAGCAGTCCTGGCTCCGGAAGAGGAAGAACTGGTGGCCATGGAGGTGGGTTCACCCCCTCTCCCGAAAAAAAGTGTTCCCGCCGGGCAGCTGGATCAACCCCCCACCAGGATAGGGACCAAACTGTCTCCTGAGCCTCCCGGGAACAAGCCAGAGCCTCAGGACTCCAAAAGTGAGTATTTTCCCAGCTCCTCATCACCTCCAACAGCCCAGCGGTGGGTTTTTGCTGTGATGAGAGAGCAGGGAACCTGGCAGGAGTTTGTTTAACCCCATCCAGGAGGATTTTCAGGTCCTTTTGCTTAATTAATCCTATAATTAAGAAGGTGGCTGTGTTCTCTGGTATTGCTGGTTTATGTCGCTTTTCTTTCCCTGGCACCGGCAGCTTTCCAAAGCTCGCCAGGACCAACGTGCACTCCCTGTCCTCCCTAAACCACCTCAATCAGTCCTTCCTCTCCTAATTAACGACGTACCCCTAAAACAATCGCGTTGAGATCCCTCTCCCTCACTGACTGGGCTTTGGAACCTGCCTGCAGCTCACAGATTGCAGCCAAGGCTTCCAAAAACACTCTGGAAAATTATCCTTGAGTGGGAAAACTCGAGAGCAGCGATCCTTGTCCTCCCACACCTCTGCTCGCTCTTCCCCACTTTATTCCTGCCTGCGCAGGGGTGTGTGGAGCGTCTTAACATTCAAAATTAGGTTTGGCCGTGATAAAAACAAATTGGGCTGGAGAAACAGCGTGGCCGGGTGCTGCTTGTTGTGCCCTGATTTTCTTTTTTTTTTTCCCTCTTTTTCTGTCTCTTTTTAGCCCAGAACCTTACGACGTGCGAAGTATGCGGCGCCTGCTTCGAAACCCGCAAAGGTTTATCCAGCCATGCCCGTTCTCACCTACGGCAGCTCGGCGTGGCCGAATCGGAGAGCAGCGGGGCTCCCATCGATTTGCTTTACGAACTGATGAAACAAAAAGGCAAACCCGACGGCAGCCCCATGTCTCCCACCCTCGGCAAAAAATCCGGTTCCCCCAAAGATGTCACCACCGGTTCCCCTCGACCCACGCTCCTGGCGCTCGGCAAGGCTGGCGAGCGCCCGCCGGACGGTCCCGTTAATAAAGCCATCAAATCCCCTCCCGGCTTCTCCAAAAACCTCTCGCAACCGGGATCCCCGATCCTTAAGAAGGTGCCACCTGCTCTTTCGGGCTCCCCGTCTCCGAAAAACCCCGAGGAGAAGAGCTCCAAGCTCTCGCTGAGCCCCCTGCAGAGCTCCCCGAAAGCACAGTGGCCGCAGGCGGATGAGGAAGGACCCCTCAATTTAAGTGAGTTTCTTTTTATTTTGGCGTTTCAGCTTTATTGCTTGGCTTTTCCCAAGCCAGGCATCCTTTTGCTCAGTAGCTGGGCTCGGTGGACGAGCCGGCGTTGGGTGATGGCCGTGCCACTCGGTTGTGACTATCAGAGTGGGCTGCTCTTCCCTGACTGGGCAGATGGGGATTTCTGTCGGGATTTCAGGAAAACCGCTGACTTTCTGCCCTCTGAGCCCTTCACATCTCTCTCTCTCTCTAACTTCATTTGGCTCCTGCGGGCCGTGGTTTGGCCAGTGTGGAGCCACCTCCCCGTTCCCAATGCGGTGCAGTGGGTTTGGCCGGTGTCAGCCCCTTCCCTGCTGCCGCTCCCAGCGTGGATGCGCTCGGAGAGGCGCCGCAGCCCTGATCCCTCTTCATCCCCAAGCTCCCTCGGTGACTTAATCCGATACTTTGAAACCAAAATAATTTTCTGTTTCTCGCCACCTTTCCCCGGAACGCCGCATCCTGCTGGGAGCGTCTTCATCAACAGCTCACAGGGCTGTTTGGCTTCTCTGGCTCGTTAGTTCTTAGTCCTTGTTACCCGGCTTGCCCAGCGAGTCCATCCCACTGCTGGCAGCACCAACAGGCCTTTTGTCTTTCCCAGTGGGAATTGCAGTACATCGGGGGTTGTTTCCTGGGATAAAGCAGAAGACGGTGTCCTAATGTTTGCTGCATCCACCCCTTGTTGCAGGAGCAGCTTAAGGACTTGATATTCCTCAAAAAAAAAAAAAATCCTAACCCTGCCAGGTTTTTTTGGAGTCGTGTGGCTATAAAATCACCTGTCCTGGCTACGGTCGTGCTTTCCCCAAGCTGAAAAGCTCCAGGATAGCAGAGCCGGAGTCTTGGATGCACCCAGGGGTTTGCTGGAGCAGAGACTCTCCGGTTGATTCTTCTCTGCCAGCGACAAGACGCAGAGTTTTGGCCCCAACTCATCCTTGCAACACCCAAAAAAGTGCTTTCTGCCTCTCTCATAGCCAGCAGCATAATTCCTCTTCGTTAGGGCTGCCTGCT